TGATGGCTGCATAATATTCCATGGTGTATATGTGCCACATTTTCCCTATCCAGTCTATCGTCGATGGGCATTTGGGTTGGTAAATCATGTTTTAATATTATAGCAGACTAGCCACACTATAGGAGACAGGGACTGAAGCTCATAAGCTCCACATTCATCACAGTTCCTTTCCTAACAGAATAAAAAGCAAAATCATTGGCACAGACTCTGTTTCTTATTTTGTTTTTTCCCACTCAGATCTCTGTGCAGAAGGTCAGCGTAGTTTCTGCCATCCTCTTCTCATAATACTTATCAAAGTTCTCATTCATAGCCACAGTAAAATGGTTCTTCCAGTCTCCCGGCATCCCTGTAGGACAACAAAAAAGTTCATCACAGACTCTGTATCCATTCCACCTAACCTTTCTGTTGTGAGTGTTTCCTAATCTACCCACATGATCTTCCCATGAGTGAGGGTCCCTCAGTCCCACTCCACCTGGTCTTCCCGCTATGAATGGTCCCTCATTTTCAATCCACTTGGCCTTCTTACCACAAGGCACACAGTATCATTTCTTCCTCAAATGCTGCAGGCTCCACTGAGGTGCTCCACTGGGCTGAATCTTCTGCTCCTATTCACAATAGGCTCTAGTGTGCCCAACCCAAAGTCTACATCTGGTTACCATCATGGACTTCTTGTGGGAACATCCTATCTTGATCTCTCAGGGACAGTGAAACATTTAAAAAATGTCATTAACCTCACTGGAGAAGATATTTCTTATTGGGCAAAATTAAAGAGTAAATCTACCAGATGCGACATTTAGATACGAGTGATCTTCTGCAAACTGTTTTTACCTTGTCAGCCTAACAAATGCTGAGACAATAAATTGTTTATCTAAATTATCCTAGTGCTTTATTTCTACTGGTTTCCTGCCCTTTGACAAGAAGATTAATCTGAAATGCTTGATCATAATGTCAAATTCCAGATTCCAACTTGCAACTAGTTAACTGGAATCTTCAGGAATGGGGTCTCTATTTTTAAAGGTAATTTTGATACAGTCAGGAGTACTGGTATTAGGGAATTACTCCTGTAGCTTCTATTTTACTTTCTTTTTTGTAACTTTCAGCTGTTTCTGCATCTATCTAGAATGTTAACCTGTTGAGAACAGAAATAATGTTCCTTCATCCATACACTCACACAACAGGCCTTTATTGAGTTTTTTTAGGTATTAGTCTCTATACTAGATTCTAGTGGAACAAACTGAACACAACTTTCTCTTCTGGAAGCCCATCATCTTATTTTGGAGACAGACATGAATACCAGTAGTTACAAATCTAAGTACTAAGTGCGATGCTAGGGTTTGAACTACAGGAATAGAATAAAGATGAGTGTCCAAAGCTGCTCAGAGGATGCACAAGACTTCAGCATGGAGTTCATGGTTGGGCTGGGTATTATAATCGAAGTGATCAGCACCATAAGCATCACTTGAGAACTCGAGAGATGATAGGCAAATTTGAGGGCTCTACTCCTGGACCTATGGAAACAGTATCTTGGAGTGGGGACCACCAATCAGAGCTTTAGCAAGGTCTCCAGGGGTTCTAATATGACTCAAGTTTCAGAACCACTGACATTGGCTTTCAGCAAACAGGCAGGGTGAGGGGAGCCGAGATTCATAGTTTAACTGAAATCTGTCACTTCTTCCTGAAAATTAGATTTAAAATTATTTTAGATTATAGGGCAGAAATTTTTTTGAACTAAGTAAAAGAAATGCCACCAACCTTTCCTCATGAATTTTGAGATGGAGTGATCAAATATGTGAGAAGGTACAGAAGACTGGTTGGCCATGGGGTTATGCTTCATTACATCAAATGAAGTATGGTGGATGATCTTGTTTATAACATCATCTGACAAAGTTTTCTCCAAGAATTTCAAAACCTTGAGGATCTCTTGTTTTGGATTCTGACCATGGAAGAAAAAGGCATTATGAGGAGGGTGGAAAGAAGAAGAACTTGGCCAATTAAAGTGACAGCTTGTTTAACGATGGACATTGTCAGGAGGGTTTCTGGGTCCGACCTATATGTTTCAGTGCCACTTGCCTTTTTTATATCCTCATAGAAGAGGTAGAGGATCTGGTGCGTGTCTTTTGCAGCCCACCATCCTTTCACATGGTCGAACCAGGACCCATAAACAACTAGAAGATGTCAGAGCACTGTTAGTTCCCAGTACCAGGACAAAACCCAAGGCTATACAATAAATTAGCACTCATTTGAAATAAGCTTCTGTAATTTTCATTCTGGTTACTTAATGAAGTGAATGTAATTTTCTACTAATAAAATTTCTTCATACTTATGGTGTAAAGCAGAGATTTATAGTACACATTTATTATATGTGACTTTGCACACATTGATGATTTCTTGAGACAGACCTTAAAAGATTAGGAAATAAAATACTTCCCCTGTTCTTGGTAAACAGTGCTTAGTTTCAGATTCAATTACTGATTCAGGCCATCTGATATAGGATTAGGGTCCTCCTGCTGCTTTCCCTGTTTAGCTGTGCTAAGCAGTTTGCAAGTTCCTGTTCTGAAAGAGATACAGCAGTAGTATAGAGGTGGGCTTGAGGAGAACTTCTATTTCCACCTGAGGCTGCGTCTATGTGGTAAATATGCAATGCATTTTCTTTTCAGCAATAGGTAAGAGAATGAATGGACACCTGAGTTGGCCAGTACCATATTTTATTTCAGTGATGTTTTAGTGTTCCTGATAGGTTGTCACTTCTGGCAGCTTCCTGGTTTAGTTCTGGGTAGTCATTATAAACACAGGAGTTATCTTTATTAAGGGTTAGCTATGTTGTAAGCATTGTGCTAAGTGGAAGATTTGTCTGAAGGATGATGGAAAACGTTCTCCAGAGGTAAAATGACCACAAACCAAGTGAGCAAGCAGGTGAAATGCTGTCTTTTGAATCAGGATGAAGAGAGATGTACGTTTGCAGTGACTTGAACCTTTGCATGTGTCATGGTGACTGGTATCTGGTATCTGTGTCAGCCAGGTTCTCTAGCAAAACAGAACAACAGGCAAATCCAGAGAAGAATACATTAGTGCCCCTTATTCACAGGTGATATATCATATGACCCTCAGTGGATGCCTGAAACCACAGATAGTACCAAATTACATTATCGTAGAGTATATGTTTTTTTTTCTATACATACATGTGTATGTTAGTTTAATTTATATATTAGGCACTGTGAGTGAATAGCAACAAAACTAAATAGCTATTACAACAATATCCTATAATATAGTCACATCTTAGGTGAATGTAGTCTCCCTCTCTCTATCCTTTTTTCCCTTGAAATACTGTAATATTTTTGAATTGGGGCTGACTGTGGATGGCTGAAACTGCAGAAAGGGAAACCAAGTATAAAGGGGACTCATGTATGTGTATGTATATGTGTGAATGTTTTATATATGTGCATAATATATATATGTACATATAAAATTTATTTTAAGCAATGGCTATATCATAGTGTGTGTGTGTATATATATATATATATATATATATATATACTATGATATATATATATATATATACTATGATATATATATATATATATACTATGATATATATATATATACACACACATACAGAGATAAAATATAAATTATGTATATATGGTTTATTTACAGGAATTAGCTTCTACAATTGTGGAGCTTGGCATGTTTGAAGTCTGTGGGGGATGCTGGAAACTCAGGCAATCTTTGATATAACAATCCTAAGTCAGAATCCTTTCTTTCGGAAACCTGAGTTTTTTTCTCTTATGACCTCCAACTGATTGCATAAGTTCCACCCATATTATTGATATTTAATATTATCTCCTTTTCTTAAAATCAACTGATTATAGATATAAATTACAACTACAAAATTGATACTTTCACAGAAACCCTAGGATTTGTGTTTGATTAAATAAGTAGGTGCCACAGTCCAGCCAAAATGACACAAAAACAGTGGCACACCTCCGGCCTTGGGAAAAATCATACAAGAAAAGAAGCTTGGATCCTCTCTTCCTTTCCTTTCTCCTACTATGCCTGCTTTCAAAACTTCTCTTCATAAATATTGGAAATCTATTCACCTGAAGTCCTATCTCGATTTGTTGTTTTTCTCTTTGCATCTGTCAGTGCTTTTTTTTAATGTTTCTAAAGAAATTGTTCTAATGAGGTTATCTCTCTTGATTCACTGCAGTGATGTGCTTGATGTAAATTATTATTTATTGACTTTTCCACAGATACCTGTTTTTCATGTTGCAGATGTCACTTCATTTTGATTCTGCTTTTGCCTCAAGAGAATATGAATGCTGTGGTCAGGATTGATTATAATGAAACTCAGTTCCCTGACAGACACTTGCTCAGGGATAGTTAGGTTGCTCAAGGACTGGGAGCTCTCAGCATCACAACTCAGCCATTTCACTTGTGAAAGTTATAATTGTTTGAGAGAGGTTAATGAAATGGGGCAGATACCATGTAATTTTCATCCATTTTTCCAGGTCTGCTCACTGCATTACAATGAAATACTATCATCATGTTTCTGCACTAAAGCTCATACAAATATGTAGGTGGTCCTTACATCCTAAATCACCTTATGTAGCCATCTTGTCTCTTCTTCTGTCTACAGATTGTTGTTTCTATGAGATATTCTTCTTCTGTGAGGAGGTTGAGATCCTTGCCAATTTGATTTGATACCTGGTCAAATCTAGTCAAATACTCTTTTGTCAAGTGTGGCCCTAATGTGTTCACTGGTTTTCTGGAAAGTGTGATCTTGTTAGTAAGTGGATGAGGGGCCATGGCTGCTATGATTTTGCACTGTGTCCTGTGGGAAAGGCTCTCTGTGGCTGTGCCATGTATGACTCTCTGTGGCTGTGCAGTGACTACAAGTGGTGGCCCAGCAGTCCAATAATGCTGCTAGGGAAAACCACAGGAAGTCACCTCCTGCCTTCCCACTGCCAGGTCTTTCCATAGAAAGTGTCTCCTCTTGCTCTTCCTCTCGGTCCCATATTGAACTCGAGTTGGAAGAGGCGAGTCCGGTCTCAAAATGGAGGTAAAACCGCCGCCCGGTCGCCCCCAGCCCGACTCCGGCCGTCGCCGTCGCCGCCGGGGGGAGGAGGGCCATGATCCAAAGGAACCAGAGCAGTTGAGAAAACTGTTTATTGGTGGTCTGAGCTTTGAAACTACAGATGATAGTTTAAGAGAACATTTTGAGAAATGGGGCACACTTACAGATTGTGTGGTAATGAGAGATCCCCAAACCAAACGTTCCAGGGGCTTTGGTTTTGTGACTTACTCTTGTGTTGAAGAGGTGGATGCAGCTATGTGTGCTCGACCACACAAGGTTGATGGGCGTGTAGTGGAACCAAAGAGAGCTGTTTCTAGAGAGGATTCTGTAAAGCCTGGTGCCCATCTAACGGTGAAGAAAATTTTTGTTGGTGGTATTAAAGAAGATACGGAAGAGTATAATTTGAGAGACTACTTTGAAAAGTATGGCAAGATTGAAACCATAGAAGTTATGGAAGACAGGCAGAGTGGAAAAAAGAGAGGATTTGCTTTTGTAACTTTTGATGATCATGATACAGTTGATAAAATTGTTGTTCAGAAATACCATACTATTAATGGGCATAATTGTGAAGTGAAAAAGGCCCTTTCTAAACAAGAGATGCAGTCTGCTGGATCACAGAGAGGTCGTGGAGGTGGATCTGGCAATTTTATGGGTCGTGGAGGAAACTTTGGAGGTGGTGGAGGTAATTTTGGCCGTGGTGGAAACTTTGGTGGAAGAGGAGGTTATGGTGGTGGAGGTGGTGGCAGCAGAGGTAGTTATGGAGGAGGTGATGGTGGATATAATGGATTTGGTGATGGTGGCAACTATGGTGGTGGTCCTGGTTATAGTAGTAGAGGGGGCTATGGTGGTGGTGGACCAGGAGGATATGGAAACCAAGGTGGTGGATATGGTGGCGGTGGTGGAGGATATGATGGTTACAATGAAGGAGGAAATTTTGGCGGTGGTAACTATGGTGGTGGTGGGAACTATAATGATTTTGGAAATTATAGTGGACAACAGCAATCAAATTATGGACCCATGAAAGGGGGCAGTTTTGGTGGAAGAAGCTCGGGCAGTCCCTATGGTGGTGGTTATGGATCTGGTGGTGGAAGTGGTGGATATGGTAGCAGAAGGTTCTAAAAGCAGCAGAAAAGGGCTACAGTTCTTAGCAGGAGAGAGAGCGAGGAGTTGTCAGGAAAGCTGCAGGTTACTTTGAGACAGTCGTCCCAAATGCATTAGAGGAACTGTAAAAATCTGCCACAGAAGGAGCGATGATCCATAGTCAGAAAAGTTACTGCAGCTTAAACAGGAAACCCTTCTTGTTCAGGACTGTCATAGCCACAGTTTGCAAAAAGTGCAGCTATTGATTAATGCAATGTAGTGTCAATTAGATGTACATTCCTGAGGTCTTTTATCTGTTGTAGCTTTGTCTTTTTTCTTTTTCTTTTCATTACATCAGGTATATTGCCCTGTAAATTGTGGTAGTGGTACCAGGAATAAAAAATTAAGGAATTTTTAACTTTTCAATATTTGTGTAGTTCAGTTTTTCTACATTTTAGTACAGAAACTTTAACAAAATGCAGTTTTGAAGGTGTTTCCTTGTGAGTTAACAAGTAAAGAAGATCATTGTTAATTACTATTTTGTATGAATTTTGCTAAAGTTAACTGTAAAGAAACACCTGCTGACTTGCAGTTTAAGGGGAATCTATTCTTCCCATTTCCAAACCATAATATGAATGGGCACTGACATGTGGAGAGAATAGATATATGTGTGTTTGCAATGTGTGTTTTAGGTAAATAGGATTGGGTATTTAAATTAGCATTTGTGAATTTAATAGCATTAAGATTACCTTCAAATGAAAAAAATCTAAAAATTTCTATTTGGTTTTTGTGCATTTTCTTTTAAAATGTAATCATATGATTTTAGTGTGTTAGACTTGCTGAGTCCTAGCTGTGTTTAGAACATCTCCATTCTACGTTTACCTTGGTCAAATTTGAACTGCTGCCATAGGTTTTGGGTGTAAAGAATGTTTACTGCCCTCCATTTAAATTCAGAAAAGGGGTAGTGGATGTTTTCCCTCTCCTACGTTAGAAACCATTCTTAAAAACTTTTCAAAATACAGGACCATTAAGCCTGCTATATCTGAGCAAATTAGTGGGTACCTTTTTTTTTTTTTCTTTTTTAAAGCACAGGAGGCCCATCAGTTACTTTCCTTGGTTTAAATTTATATATATATATGTATGTATGTATATGTGTGTGTGTGTGTGTATATATACATATATATACATATATATATATATATAAAGTTTTCAGAGTAAGAGAATAAAAATCCCTAACTGGCTGGCATGCATTCCTGTTTGTACCCTATACATTTTGCTGGATGAAACCAAGGATAGTTTAGGTATAACTGTCCAAAATAACCTAACTGCAGCAGAAATGTAGCACAGTTGCTTAGTACAAGCTTCTCACTTCCTACAGACCTGAATTCAAATTTGGATAGTTTGAGTTCTTAAATTCCCAAAGAACACACTGTAACTTCTTGTGTATATTTCAACATAAATCATATTGTTACCAATTCGTTTGGAAGGCCCTGGTTGAGAAGACTTAGATAATAAGGTCATATATATATATATATATTAATATAAACCAATGTTTACTGTTTTGCGCCAGCTAGTGCTTACAGTTTCATTCGATCCCTGAGTGTGTGCCCTGCTGTTATACTTTCTTGGTAGTTGAACGTTGAATTCAAGATTCTTTGTTTTGTTTTAAGAAGTACTAAGCAAAACAAGCAATAAAAAGGGGAATGGGGCGTGCTAGTGTTTGAATATGCTCTCTTGTTGCTCTAATTCTGTGCCTCTGTGCATTAATATTTGGATGCATGCAATGCTAGCATGGAAATTGGTCTTCACACATACTGCAGTTTTCCAGAAACACTCACAAACCAATAAATGTAACAGATATTCCATTTGTTAATGGGCATATATGTGAAAAAGCAGTGTAGAAAATAGGCTAATATTAGAAAATGGTTAAGTCCTTAATAACTTCAAATGTGGTTATATAATGGACACTGTCAATGTTCATAACTTAAACCTGGGTACCTGGTCAAAATAATGCTTGGGAAACATTAAAATTGAGCTAAATTGTCTCAAGTTCTTTTATTCATATAAATAAAGTTTAAAGGAATGGGGGAAAAAAAAAAAAAAAAAGAAAGTGTCTCCTCTTTTTATTTTGAAGTTGACTGTTTGAAAGTCAGGTCAAGGATTTGGGGATTGTTATCTTTGTCTCAACACTTATGACACCAGTTGATCTAAATTTACATTTGTATTCAATTTTGGAAAAATACCTCTTCTACCTGGCTTATCCAGTTCCACTTTACCAAGATAGGACCTCTTCACTCAGGATGGCCTTTCATACAATTATACTTTAGTTTACATAGGTGCTTATTGTTAAAGTCTCCTGAAAGAGGGTACCACAAAATTGGTTTTCACTCACCTTTTCCTGACATGAATTCCTCATAAAATTCCTCCAAGTTCTGAGGATCATACAATAAGGAAGTCATCCTGTGAAAGTGGTAGTAAGATACCAGGCAATCCTTGGCATTTCTGGCCACATAGATAATCTGAAATCAAGAAGGGGGAAGGAAGCCAGGGAGAGAAAAATAAGACTGAGAAAAAATACTTAGGAGAGTGTTTCAATACAATGGTAACTACATCCTGTAAGTTCATAGCATTGTATTCATTAGTTATGAGCTAAAATATTAAATAAGTGGAGCCATTTCGACTCTGCAACCCTGATAGCCATGGAGAACACCAAGACAAATGAGAGCGCCCCACTTCAGAGTGATTATGAGTAATGCAGGAGGATGAACACAATGTTTGGACAGCACTGTCAATCATGGTTGGAATATGATGTGATATGCTGAGTAGTCATGGAGGAATTGACAAAGCATTCCTGAGCATTCAGAGATGGGCCATGAAATGGTGAATTTCAGGTGTGTCTTATTGTGTTGAAAGAAATATTCCAGATTCACAACAGGGGAAAGCTTAGAAAGTGAGAAAACATTTTTGTGCATACCATCTCATTTGGCTCTAAAAGGGTTAGTGTTAGGTGAGGAGAGAGCAGGTATTATTCTTCAATAGAAGTAAATGACCTTCAGATAATTGGAGGGACTCCTACTCTTTTATGCTTAGTACATGAGTGGGTCAGACCTGGTCACAGAAATTGGGACACTGAGTCCACAGCTAGTTCCTGGATAGTTGTATAAGACTCACACAGAGGAATGTTTCAGTGTTTCTCAAAGATTAGAATGATTTTGTTGGTTGCCATATATATATATAATATGTATATTCCATGCCTCCATAATCTACTGAGTAGACTAAGGTCAAACCTGTCCTCATTTTTATCCCCCTCACCTCTATATGTGATCTCTCACAAAGTCCAGTTAATTCTTCCTATCCTTCTAAACTGTACACTATACTGCATCACTACCTCCTGTACTCAAGTCAACTCACTGCTATCTTTTCCCTCCCACTTTGTCAGCCTGCCTCTAGAAAACACAGCCTGCCTTAGAAAACATGGATGTTTGCAGATTTCAAATTATGTAATTCTTGATTTTAAGTACTTCATCTAAGAAAAAACAGCAAATTATATTAAAAATATTTTTCAATATAAATTATTTTGAAATATATCTTCAGTTGTATAGTTTATATCACCAAGCTAAAAGAAGTTTGAAAAGCCTGCTCTTTTTACCTTGCAGTTTTCTTTCCAGATAGATGGTGGAACCAGATGTGAAGGGAGGTGAGTTTTTATTAGTCGTGGTGAGGACATTTCAAGAGCTATCTCCAAATCTAGAAAAAATAATTTATAGTTTATTTATTCTTGCCACTTTGCCAAAATACTTGAATTCCATTTGTATCTTTGTCTAAAGAATGATTATGTTTCATTTTTATTAAAAATGTTAGCTGTTTATCCAGAAGGACATACAAAGCATCTACTCCTGCCTAACCATCTAGGAGACTTTTGCTTATTTCCTCTTATCCTCTCAGCCTTTAGACTCTCAGGGAAGCTCCTTATCACCCTCAATAAATTCTGGGAATGTTCAATATATATGTGGTTGTCCTTTTCCTCTCTGTTTCTCTCTCTCTCTCTTTTTGTTTCTCAGAAATCACATCCATCCTTTTACAATACTTTGCCATTCTTGGAAAATCTTTGAATTTACATTTGTGCCTTAATTTAGAGAGAGGTTTAATTTTTTTCTGCTGGAGACACTAATTGTTTATCACAAACACATGTAAAGCATTTTTCGTTCCAAAAGTCTTCTAGGAGGTCTTTCTTTATTTCATGTTACTCACTGGGTTTTACACTCTTAGAAAACCTTTTTAGCTCCCACAATTACTGCTGGGAATGTCCATGGTATATCCTCAATACTTCTCTATTTTCTTCAGAAATCACACCTGTCCTTTTATAATAGCCGATTGCTAATTTCTGGTTTTTCCACTGATTCAAATATATGAAGGAGAATACAAAGGAGAGGGAGTGTTCTTTATCATAACATTGGGAAGGAGAAATATGAGAAAGAGAATGAAATCTTATTGGGAAGCTAAAGGCCACAAGCTAAGAACAGGAGGAAGCCCTGAAGACTCAATCTAAGGTTTTACTTATTGGCTTGTGAACAATTTGACCTCATGAAAGATACAGGCTGCTTTTGGCTACCATGGAAGCTCTGTTAAAGACAGTACACATTGTTCTGGAGTCTTGCATTGAAAGCCCTTTCTGTCTTGGTGCATATTACCTTTTTTTTCTTTATGGGGAAATTTCAATTCAAGGAAAGGGTATCTCTCTAGAGGACCGCCTCTTTTGCATTTCTTCACATCACCATCATTTTGAATCATGTCTAAAATTTCTTGCATCCATGTTGTACCTGAAAATATTTGAAATAGTTCTTTGTTTTTATCAACTAAACTTTAATCCTAAGTTATTGAATATTTTGAACAAAGGCAGCAACATGAAAGCACTTTGAAATTTGATCAATGTTGTGGAGGCAGAAGTGAAAACTGTTATGCCTTCATCTATCTAGCTATCTATCATCTATATATCTATCTAATCTGTCTATCTATCTATCTATCTATCTATCTATCTATCTATCATCTATCTAATCTATCATCTATCTATGTATCTATCTTCTATCTCTCCATGTAGCTATCTAATTATGTATCTATATCTCTCTATGCATCTGTGTATGTATGTATCTATGTATCTATCAATCAATCATCTATCATCTGTTAGTATTTAATCTCTCATCTATCATGTTTGAGTGATCCATTTTTATGTTTCCTATATTATGACACTTCATGCCTAAAAATGCTGTATCTCCCAATACGACATTCTCTTGTCATGGTTACTAAATGTTTCTCAGAACATCTATTTTATAATAAAACCTTAATAAAATGAGATATTCAACCTATATTAAATTTTTTTCAATTGTGTTGTAATGTTATTAATCACTTTTTCCCAATTAAGATTTATAGGCTGCATTACTTTGGCTGCCCTTTTTGTCTCAGCTTAGAATCATCCTTCCACGCTTTTTCTTCATGACACTAGTTTTTGTTCTTTGACATTGGCTTTTGACCAGATCAGCCAGTTGTCTTGTAGTACTCTGCTTATTCTGGATTTGTCTGATTGTTTCCTCATAGTGCATTTTTGTTTTTCTATTTGCCAGAGACTGGAATCCAGGCCTTGGTTAGTTTCTGGTGATCATTTTTGGCAGATTTCTAGGCACTGCTTGGTACTTCTTGCACCATGTATGCCAAGAAGTACATATATCAGATTGCCTCACTACTAGTGATGCTACTGTTTATCATTCAGTTTTGGAGGCGAC